GCGATGGAAAACGACATTTTCGTACCAAGGATGTAAATGTCGACTCCTGTACCAGCGGAGGAGTCGTATCTGTACGTGAAAGTGAGAGAGGATACGGAGCCCTGGACTCGGACGTCCTGCGAGATACGAGAGAGACCCCAAGGAGCGTTCGTTTGGCTCCTGAAGTCAGATCAATATGTTGGGACCAAAAACGGAGGGATGGACGCCGATGCAGACTTACACAGTAGCCTCGGGCTCGACGGCGCTATCTTCCTCGATGGACTTGACGTCGGGAGACGCGCGAAGAGCATTGAGAGTATCCTCGTCGAATTCGCCTGCACGCCGGTCAGCCCTACGATACATCGCCTGTCGAAGAGGCACCAACCCGCGTAACCGTGGAAGACATTGAACTCCCAGTCGGCGTGGGTGATCCTGGAATTTCCGGAGCGAATTCTGTCGAACCACTGAAGATGGCCACTCTTCGACACCGTCTCCTTGAGCTGGACGATGTGACGACCGGAGGTTTCGGCGTCGGGCACACGGTGAACTTCGATGAGCGACATTGCTAGAAGGAAGACGAGAGCTGAAGATCGGGAGGGGTACTTCGGTTTGAAGTGAGGTTAGGCCAGTCCGCGCGAGGGTACTTTTATACGCTGGAGAGCCCCCTCGAATCGACCGCATGTAGCTGTAGTTTCCTATCAGAATGAAAGCGACTTCGAGGCATTCCATGGCATACTGAAGCTGTCATCTACATGCCTGGTGTCACCCCGCTTGAAAACATATCGGCGGCTGGTTTGCGGTGAGCGCCCATTGATGTTCACGGTCAACGACGAGGGAAAGAGGGATGTCGCGCTATGGGAGTCTCAGATTTCATGTATTTGCTGTTTAGTACACATCTGGTGATGTACCCGGACGTGAACGTTGAACGTGTTGAGCCGACAGGGTCTATCGATTCCACACTCCACCGAATTTCCAGTTCTTTGGTGTTTCTTGTAATGTCCGCCGACGTCAGTCGTATTTCGAAAATGTGGGAGTCACTCACACTGTTCAGCCATTGAGTCTGCTCCCCGTCTCCAACGGGTCGCGTGCTCGTGACATTCCCTTGCATAGATCTTCCACTTCGATGCACTATTGACGCCTCCATCGCCTGCTGGGGCGCTGGCTGTTGGAAGCAAGGCGGAAGGGATGACGTGTGTGTCGAGGTCGTGATTTTACCGTTTCGACTGCCGAAATCATCTGAGAGTGATATATAGCACGTCAGGTGGAATAAAAATGAAGCAATCGCGGTTTGGCCCACGCAAGACGATTACCGGAGCGCACCTCGCTCAAGACTGGGCGCGCTGTAAGACGCCTAAAACTCTATAATTGGGTATTCTCAGCCGCTATAGCATCCGCGATAATTCCTACGCCTTCCTGTGCGCTCCCAGCAGAGGTCACGCTCACGAGTTCTGTGGCTTCTGGAAGGATATGTCACTATTCACAGTGCACCACAGTGCACGGGGGATGTCAGCCAAAACTTGGAAAGCACATCAAGACGACGCACGATGTCAGACGATGTCCTGGTCGTCGGATGAAGGTCCTACGTGGCATACAAATACCAAAAGAGACGTCATGATTCTTACCCCAGCGCCAAGCTACGAATGATCCAAGGGCAGAAGAGAGATGTAAGGTCGTTCAAGCTTCAAGGGAGCATCCACGCCGGATGGTTATTTAAGTCATATGGCGCATCGCGTGACCTCTTCTGCTTTTCGTCACAAATTCAACTTGATATTTTCGTGGATTCTCACCGACGCTAGTCCTTATTCCTAATATGCGGGCATACAAAGTGCGCTGTATGGATTTCGCCTGAGGCTTCAGCAGCAAAAGAGTAACATTATAGGTAGGAATCACGGTAGACAGCGAGACTACGAGAAAAAACTACAACGACCGTCGAACGACGGAACCCCGAGCATTTTACAACCACTCGAAAGCAGACAGCGAGCAAAACAAATATAAAACTCACCCCCTCCTCCGCCCACGCCAGCTAGGTCCGTGAGCACATGCCGCGTCAGTTGACCACCAAGAACGCACCTGCCCCTCCCGCACCCCAAGAGGGGAGACACCGCCGCCACCTCACTCGTCGACCATCGTGCGCTCCGTGAGCAGCCCCTCGCCGTACGCCATGCTCTCGAATATAACTTGCCGCCAGACCGCAATCACCAGCTCGCCCGCCTCCTCTTCGAGTACCTGAAAAAACGTCGGTAAGATGGCGAGTAAGGAGGGGTGGTAGGAAGCGCACCGGTTCGAGGCCCTCGACCAGCTTCGCGGGGCTCTTGTGGTCTTTGAGATGCTCGAGCACGAACATTACCAAGTCATCGTCCTCGAGTTCGCCGAGGTACTTCACCATCACGCGCTTCACTAGCGGCTCGAACTTGCGGTCGATCATGAGCTGCACCCGTCGTCAGCAGCACGTTACACCACCCAAAAACGCTGCCCACTCACATCCGTCACGCCGTCCCAGCGCACCTTCGCTTTGAAAAGCGTCTCCCGATCCCGCGGTACCGACGACCGTATCCTCTCCAGCCTCTCCTTCACCTTCTCCCCGTCACCCGCCGCGCTGAAGTCGAGCTTCACCAGCGGCGCCCGCTTCCGCTTTCCGGCCTCCTCCTCCTCCTCTTCGTTCCCAAACACAGCAGCCGCCGCTTTCTCCCGCTCCCGCCCGCCCCGCTCCTTCTCGTCCGCCGCCGCGAGCGACACCGTCAACTTCACCGGCGCGCCGTCGTCCAGGAGCATCCCCGCCCGCCGCTGCTCCTCCGCGAGCGCCTGCATCTCCGCCATCTGCCGCTCGAGGAACAGATCCGACTCCCGACGCAGGTTCTCCGCCTCGCGCGCCTCAAACATCCGCGACTCCGCGTCCGCGTTCTCCTCCGCCACCAGCCGTCGCTGCCGCGCCGCGCGCCACCGCGCCCGGTCCGTGTAGAATTGCTCGTCGCTCTCGTCGTCGTCCCACACGTCCAGCCGCGCCCGCATCTCCGCCCGATCGCGCTCCTCCGCCTCGGCCGTGGCCCGTTCGCGCGCGATGGTGCGCTCGAGGGCCTGGATGCGCGCGCGCTCTCGCGGCTCGTAACGTCGTTCACGCTGCGAAAATCGAGGTCAGCGGAGGGCGCCCACACCAAGGTAGAAAGCAGGAGCACGCACGTCCCGGAAGGAGCTCTCCTCGTCCCGCCGCCGCGCCTCCTTGCGCTCGAGCTCGAGCTCCTCGTCCGACTTCATCTTTCGCGCCTGGTCCTCCGCGCGCTCTTCGCGCACGAACCCGACCGGCTTCGCGAACCCCTGAGCATCGGCCCCGAGCGCCTTCCCGCCCGCGGGGACGACCACCTCCATCTGCGGCTTCCCCCACTCGCGGACCTTGGGCCCGCTGGGCGTGGCGGTGGGCAGCGCGTGCGCCTGCTTCGCGTCGCGCATCTTCTCGCGCTCCCGCTTGGCCGCGCGCTCGCGGAACTGGGCGATCTCGGAGATCACGAGCCCGCGCTGGGTCTCGGGCAGGTCGGCCTCTTGCAGGTCGTGCAGGTGAGGCGGGATCACGTACTTCTCCTTGTCCAGCAGGCCGTTCTCGGAGGCTTCGAGGGAGGTGCGCATGATCTCCTCCACGAGCGCGGCGACTTTGCTTCGCGCTTTGCGGGTGGCGTCTTCGTCGACCTGCACCAAGGAGGGGTTAGTACCGGGCAGGCGGGTTTTTTCGAGAGGGTGGAAAAGACCACGTCGCCGTGGCGAGTGGCGAGCGTAAACTCGCTACGTATTCTTCTCGGAGGCGCCGGAGAAAGGCGCGCCCAAGAGGATGACGCAAAAGGCAACACACTGGCCAGAAGACGGAGTCTTTTCCACGCATCACGACGGCGAGGACAGCGCGGGGCACCGCGAGCACGATGCCCTTGCTTTGGAGAAAAGAGGTGAAAGATGCTCTGTAAAACGGCTTGCTTTACTCCTGGAAAACCATGCTTGGGAGCGGTGAAAATCCAGGGCTACTTCGTGCTCGTCTTCAACACTTTACCCCCAAGTTTCTTTCCCAGGAGTGGGTTAAGCATCCGCCAACCTCTCTTTCCCTCTTATTTCTCCAAAGAAAAGGGCCGTGCTGGCAGTGCCAGCGCGGGGTGGAAGGGAGGGTAGGGCAAGACATAAAAAGATACACGACGTACGTCGGTCTTCATGCGTTGCGTCGAGTACGCGTCTAGGAACACCTTGGTCTTTTCGTCCGCCTTGACCTGGAAAAAGAGACGTGAGTAAGAGGAAGAAGGGCGAGGAAGGGGCCACGCACCAAAAGCGTCTTGTTGACGCATCCGTCCTCAAGAGCGGGCAGCTCGACGTTGTTCAGCAGTGCCATCGCGCGCAGGGCGCTATCCGGGTCCTCGAACTCTGCAAATCCGAAGCCTTGGGGCTTGTTCGCGGGCGTGATAAGACGTTTGAACGAGTTCACCGGGCCACATGCCTGTCGGCCACACGAATCCGCCGTCAGTGTTGTGCTCCGACGAAGGTAAAGATGAAGATGAGTGGGGCGACGCACAGAGAGCAGCTGGTTGAGAAAGGCGTCGGTGATGCCGCCAGAGATGGAGCCGATGAAAAGGGTGACGCTCTTCTTGGTGTTGGGGGGCACGAAGGCGGGCGGGTGGAGCATTTGCTGCTGCTGTGCAAGAGCCGACATTGAGGGACCTTGCCCGTACGACGGCATAGGAGGACGCAGACCAAGCCCTAACCGATTTGGAACGCCCTGCATCTTGTCGTGCGCGCTCTGCCTGGACTGTTCATGGGTGAGAACGAAGAACAGGCGCCACGAAGAGTGAACGCACATTGGAAAGTTGATGAGCGAGAAGATCAGGGGATTAAAGATGGAAGATGGAAGATGGAAGATGGAAGACGAGAGATGAGAGATGGGAAGTCGGGCTTGTCGTGGAGAGCTGGCGAAGGAGAGGGTAGAAAACACTCAGAATATTCAGGAATCGACGTCGCATTGGATCTGTGTAGCAATGTACGTTGTAAATCTTTAAGGCAACATGGCCGAGCGGTCTAAGGCGCTAGAATCAGGCTGCATTGGGTTGATTACCTAATAATGCTAGCGTAATCTAGTCCGAAAGGGCGCGAGTTCGAATCTCGCTGTTGTCATTTTATTGTTTTTAGACTGAGCAGCAACTTGGGGTACATATTGAGTGCAAGAAAGGATGGGTTGGACGGTGAGAAAGCATCTAATCAAATTTATGAATGCACAAGGGGTGTACAGTAGATGAGTGGAGGGGTAAAGATACAAATATTCGTTAGGTAGGGACTGTAAGCGAGTTGAGCACAGAGAACACAATGTAAGTCTTCTCTTCAGATGAACCCCTGCAAGCAGCATGCCATCCATGCTTGAGTGTGAGCAAGTGTCAAGACTCACACCTATAACAACCTAAGAGCCACCTCAATCATGTACAACAATCACTGCGTTAAATGGCAGGTATCCAAAGCCACGATACAGTGTGAGTACGAGGTGTGTCAAGAAGGTAACGACGATGTGAT